TTCTGGCCGGGCTACACGTTTTTGTGGATCCATAGCTCCCCAGATGAGAAATAAAGCAACAAGATATAGCGGGTACGTTGAATTTTTATTCTGAGAATAGCGAATAAATAGCTAAAACCTTGATGCTTCACTTGTTTATGCATGCGAAAGATGCCAGATATTGGTGGAAAACATCTCGGGTTTGGCCCCGGTGCAACTTTTTAATTTTTTTTCGGGTTCAGATCCACAAAAACGTGGAACAGACGGTTCCTAACTGTGACACATAACCCTACTGAAGGAGCTACTAATACTACTACATAGAAATGCGTTGTGGGTGGTCCAAACATTAATTTTCACTTGATTTCCTTGAATTTCTAATATATGGATAGTAATTATATCTGTAATTCTTTTTTTTTGGTCTTATCTAACTCATATAATTTTAATAAAGTATTCTTAGTAATTTTTTTCTTTAGATTCTATACAACAAATGGTTTGAGAATGTCGACAAAAACAACAACACATCTAATAGACAATCATCTTCATTGAATCATTCAATTGAATTCATATCATCGACATCGTCTCATTCGAATATAAAAGTTTCATCTGAAAATCATAATGAAATGGATGTACAAAATTTCAAAGAACCATTGCAAACATCATCATCAGATACATTTCAACTGGTATCATCAATTCAAAAACCAGTTGATGCAAATACGAAAAAAATTCTTTTATTTCGACCAGTTTAATCAAAATGAATATAAGATTAATTCTTATTGGTTTTCTTTTCTGTTTCATTTAGTTATTCTCTCGCTTAAATAATTTATCATGGTTCCTCAATAAGCAAAACTTACCATCCTATCAGCAAATGGTTGAATTAACAATCTCTCAAATAAAAGATCTACGATCAAATATAGATTTATGCAATTATAGATCAATATTGGATGCTAAAAAACAGATTTTATTAATAAGAACTGAATATATCGAAAAATTTAGTAGATCTTATTTAAAACAACATAATTATACAATTAGTTATAAGGTTGAACAATTATGTGAATCTACGAAGAAAGTCATTGGATATTTACTGGGATCACTTCACCATTATGAGTTTCAAGCGGATAAAGATAATCTAATCAAAGAATCAAATCGATCGTCAACTACTTTGTCTTCAATTGCACAAAAACAAAATTAACGTAAAAACTGAGAAAAATCCATTAAATGAAAATCTGAATATTGTTTTATTCATAATAATGATAAAAGATCGAGTGCATCATATACATCACTTGAATATTAAACTCTTTTAAACAATATCTGAAAAAAATCTAAACGATAACCGTATAGATCCTAATAAAGTAAGATATTGTTTTGTTTCGATTTCATGAAAATATTTTGTTGTTTTTGTTCGATTGTTTTTTGTTTTAGGGGAAAAAATAAAGATTAACATACAGATAAAAACATTTTATTTTTTTTTTGAATATTTCAATCGACTTTTTATACTGTATTTATTGAAATGGCACTTTTGCATATTTTGGTTTTATTCTGTCTTAGAGTGGGTCTTAGTACCAGAAACTTAAGGACACCTTCTCTATTTCAACACTTGTATAGAACGATTCATCAGAAACTTTCGCTAATCTCAGAGTAGGTCGAGCTCAATAAGTAGAGCAAAAGTTGTCATAAACTCAAAATTCTAGGATGCTTCTCTTAACAGAATATCGACGTCGTAAAAGCAAAAAACGGCCTTCTTTCTCAGCCCCGATACGTTTGATAGCTTTAAATTTTTTTTACAGATACTAGATACTGTTTTGATTTCCAACTTTTTTGTTGTGTTTCTTTTTTGTTTCCTTCCGTTCGAATAAAAACTTCAAAATTGTGAGAACACTTTCAAAAACGCATGTCTTTTCGCTTTAAGTGCAGCAATTTGTTTTCAAGCCTTGATGAAAAATAGCAATACTTCATATTTTGAAACAAAATATAGTAGAAGCAGCGTTGCGCATTTTCTAGTGAAACTAGAAGAGAATTTTAGCTCAGTCAGCTGTCACCGTTGAGAAATACAATCGTTTCTGAACCTTTTTGTTTTCGTTGAAGGATGTGGGTGTGGATGAACCAATTGAACACATTCACCCACACATTCACGCCCATATCCTGTCCCTCAGAAAATCCAGTTTTTTCATAGGCGAATGAAGCGAAGTTTTTTCTTTCAGAATAAATATAACTTTTAAAAAAGGCCAAATTTGAACAGACTTTCGGAGAAGATTTCTACCCTATTACCTTGTTTTCTGAGAGACATTTTCGTGTTTTCTTTATTCTGACGACTATTGTCTTTTTACTTGCCTTATCATCTAAAAAACATTCTTATGTAATTTTAGCATGATCCTTGGTGCTAGTTTACGTAATCTGTTGAGTGCTTTTAAATATTGCACATAAATGTTATGATTATACTATTTTTTTTCTTGATTTGAATGAAAGAGCTGAGAAAAGCAAAATTTAGTATCATCAAGTAATTTCTTTTTGCTTATTTTAACATTGTATATATTGAAACGATCATAGAAAATGAGCGGAAGCGAATTTCAAAATTCTCTCTGATGAACAATTGCATACAGGTATTGACTTTAATTTGGAGTTGCCTGAATTCTGTATCTGTTACAATGACAAATTTACAACGATTCTCCTGAGGGTCATAAATGCACTGTAAATTATCCATATCTACGCGATAGTTTGACATATCGGAGTGAAATTTTAATCAGAGGCGCTCCTCATATGAATTACTCATTTCTGAAATTTTCAGCCCAAATGAACTATTCTAAGTAGGACATCTATAGCGAGGGATGCCCCTTAACATAACTATAATCGAGTTGTTTCTTAAGTCATCATGTTGCCATTTAAAAATTAATATTAAAAAAAAACAGAGTGTTGCTGTGGGTGTGGGGTGTCGTTGTACGACTCCTCTCGCTAAACATTCACGTCCTCTCCCTTGAATGCAAAGTGATTATTTGTGAAATTTATATTTATAATGGTGTAAAACATCAAGACAGCACAAGCACTTGCTGGTTTGCGAGAATTCTGTTTTATGTAGAATGAAATTGAATTTTTATTTGCAATGGATACAGTTTTTCATATTGACTCGATATGATCTAAGAAAAATAAGCGTATCATTGCCTTATCATTGACAGTTAGTCCGACTCCAGATTTGGAAGTAGTCAGTCAATATTGTCAGAGGAAAATTGATGAAAACAATGGGATAATTCAAACACTTTAGAATGATTTCCATGAATTTTGGACAATATGAAAAAGACGAGAAATATCTCAAACTTGATCTACGTAGTAGAAGAAGATGTACCACCTGAAAATCTGAATTTTGATCATTCAGCCAGCGTGGAACAGGTCTTTTGAAAAAAATTCGATATGATTTATAAGTATCGAGAACGATACTGTCGTGCAATTCATGGCGGTCCACCAATACAATGACAATTCTGTTCATGCAATTTTCGCATGCAAAACATAAAATAATATTAACTTTATAATGGAACAGTGCAAAATTGTGGTCTATGAGTTAACTTACGATGTGTTTTCGGCCGAGAATAATAAGCGATATGTGAAAGTTCTTTTAGACGACGAAATTGATCGACGATGTGGAGGAAGATTTGGAATGCTGAAAATAAGTTTTGCTCTCTGTAAAAGCATTGCTCTCTAAGTGTCTTTTCGGCTGAATAGTCTTCAGCAATCAATGATTGATGTGTAGAGCCCTACAGGATCCGAATCGTAGCAAAACGGATGTGGGCGTGGGTGTGTGACTGTGGATGAATGGGGTGAATGCGGTGGCTGTATGCATATGTATGAGTATGTGTATGCATCAAGGAAAATCCACACTCACACCCTCAAACTTTTGAGGAGAAAACGATCGAAAACTTGTGTCAGTTTTACTCCAGAAAGAGGGTCATTAATTCAATGTTGTTTGTCACTTTCTCTTTCTTTCTCCTGCTTGTTGTTAGAGACTAATTTATTACTTTCTGGGAGAACAGAAAAGAGAAAAACATATAAATAAAGAAACAGCAAAAACCTGTATGTGAAAAAGACAGTGTTCCGTTTTAAAAATGAAGTGAAAAGTGCATGGTGATACTTATTTAAAAGAAAACCTATATCTCTAGCAATGAATGCATCCGTAGCATCGATACGAATACAACCGCTGCTAATAATCCTGACAATGAACAAAGATACTAATACTATCAATCAAAACGATGAGAAACAATTCTACGTCAATGCTATTCGTCGTCTAGTTCGAAAGCTGGATCGAAGACTTCTTCCTTTTATTGTTCTGCTGGAAATTAGTTCTTTCATCAAACGAGTGAGCATTGGTATGTATTGTTGACTTCAATCAATTCTCATCGGTGATACTCGCATAGGTCACACTAAACTGATAGGCATTCAAACTGATCTGCGTATGACTGATTCGGAGTATAGTTGGGCCGTTTCACATTTTTACGTTGCTTCTGTAAGAAAATGACATTATTGAATTTCTTAATGTATCAATCCATCTTTTTTGTGTACTCAAAAAGTGAGCACACTCTAGAATCGGTCAGTATGTCCGGCCGTTTACACGATAACTTTTGAAAGGAGAGTGCGATCTTGATGAAATTTTCTACACAGTATCGTCTCAACAATGTCTCGGTCGAGTTCGAAGATGAGAATGATTTGTCGAGCCATTGCTGAGTTGTCGCAAAAAAAGTGATTTTTCCCTATACTTTTTTATGCGATTATTGACCTATCTCGGTTTTCGTAAAAGAACTTTTCCTCTCATAATCAAACAAAACTCCATGCTATTATATACAATTTGATGGAGAATTTCACGAGCTACAAAAGGGTGTGGGTGTGGGTGTGGGTGTGGGTGTGGGTGTGGGTGTGGGTGTGGGTGTGGGTGTGGGTGTAGATAAAAAGAAGAAAACATCCACACGCACACCCACACACCCACCCACACTCGAATGGTCCCTACACGTGCTCGTATTGTTGATATTCCTACGAGTGAAATTATGAATTTTGGTAAATCTGGTGTAACTAGTTCTTTATCGAATGATTACTATTTCAACAATCTTAAGCATCTTATAATTTATCACCTAGATAAAGATCTTCTCCAATCGTTTGTAACATATGTAAATTATTTACAAATTCAATATCTTGATATTTCACTACTTGGCATTAAATCTGATACAATTACTTTACTCTTATCATGTATTAAAAATCTAACTTCACTTCGGATTAAATATAGTCTTTTACTTAATCATCAAAAAGTTTATTTAGGAAAAGGTAATTATTTGAAATGTCATGATATATTTGTTGATTAATATAATTTTGATAAAAAAAATATTATTATTATTTCACAACTGTTTCCTTACATAGAGCATTTAGCAATTAATACGATAAAATTATTGAATATTCCATCGATAAAAACTTATCTATCACGTATTCGTTGTCTTGCATTTAAAATCATTGATTTTCCATTTTCATTTTATGATGATTATGAACAAATATTATGGGATGATCCATTACGGAGAAAAGTTAAATTCTTATTTGAACGTAAAGCAGATTCGATAACAATTTGAACTGATCACGATGCATTTGAAGAATCTTACTGGGCAAAATTTAGTTCAAATTTATAAAAAAAACAAATAAAATGACAATGAATTCAATATGATTTTAAAACAAAGATTTCATTAAATTTTTTATGTAAAGCATACATGTCAATATGCTTCATAAATATTTTTTTATCCTAGCTTATTAGTTCTAAATAAATAAATATATATGATTCAAATGTCATATGCAGTTAATATTTATTTCAAAAAAAAACTTAGAAATGCACAAATGATTTTTTTCTTTCTATTTCTATCAAAATCTATTCAACATTTTTTACGCGCAAAAAATTCCTCGGAAAACTTAACATATATTTATCAAACTATGAATATTCACAAAATGTGATTTGTATTCATAGTCATCATTAGTTCATGTTGAAGTTTCTTTTGTGTTGAGGGCTATCAAATAGATTGATATGAAATAGAAAGAAGAAAGCAATCGTACTATTCATTAAAATACAAAAAGAAAACATTATTTAACACTTTGAGAATGTGATTGATAGAAATTTGTAATCCATTTATCGATTTCGTTCAAATCATAAGTAAAAGTTTCTTTGTCAGGTTCAGCTTTCAATGTCAATTTACCTTCATAAATGACATAGAAGCGAAATGGCCATGATCCATAGGTGTTTTGAAAAGTATTATTCATGTCATCGACAAGCATAGGCATTTCGAAATTGAAATTTATTTTGAATCTTCGAGCATTTTCGAGTCGTTGTTCAAGTGTTCTTGGTTGATCAAGGCATGAAATTGTTTGACCAACTGGCCATTCATCTTGTGAATGTGCCTCAGCAATATAAATTGCTACGAGACGTATACCATTCGGCACATGTGAGCGAACAAGCGCGCTAATTATAAATATAAATATTTCATATTTCGATTCAAAATAAAAATCTTACTTCATTCGCTCGACATTTGCACGAAATGGGGGTCAGGTAGTTGAGCCGGCCAATATTATTAATGGTTGGCCAGCTGAAATTTGTGAAAAGAGAGTTGTTGGTTGACCATCTGTATCATACAAATTGACGTCTCGAGCACATTCTCCCTGTTGAACTACACCTTGTGAAATTTTGTTGTATTTAACTAAAACAAAATAAAATGCAAAAAGAGAAAACGAAGAAATTTTAAAAGTTAACTATATTTCAATAATTCAAATTTGAAAAATCATTATTCATGATTCGTATTATAAGAACAATTATTTTTCAAACACTCACCATAAAAGGCTGTTTGAACAATAGGATCATCTGGAAAGCGATGCAAAGCTGTGCGTAATGCATTAACATCTCGATATCCAAAATAGTCCACGACATGATGTTGAATGAGATCATGTACATAACTAAAGTTTCAGAATGATTCATTTCTCGTATCTTAAGAAAAAAAAAACAAAGTTATACTTACGTAACAGCACATTCATCAGTATGGTATTCGTCCATGATTTTTTGAATTGAATCAGACAAACGAAGACGTGTTTCATAAAGAACCATTTCGCGAACTATTTCAATTGGAGGTAATTCATCGGATAATTTAACTGTCTCAAATCCCATATGACCTGATGTGGGAAAAAACATTCGACACATTCGGTATCGTTCCATTGATGGTGGTGATGGAAGTGGTGGTTGATAGCGTGGTAATTCGGGAAGGGAACGCTGAATAGATAAGCGTTTATTACCAAACAGTGGTAGTTCTTCGGCAGCTATTGCCTCTGTTGTCTTTCGTGCTATTTCAGCATAACGATTTTCAAGCGAAGTCGTAGAAGACGTCTTGTTGACGTCCATCCTTCTTCACTTTTTTATATAAATGCAAGGTAAAACGCAAGAGAATAATTCTTTTTAACATCAAAGAACATGAGACAAAAGGAAGAAAAAGAAAAAAACTCCGTGTTCTTGCACCACTGCATTCACAATATTTACGTCGATAATACGTTGCATGATTGTTCTATAAATAGTACTGCACAAGAAATAGCGAACGATATGAATCATCATCTATAGCATTCCAGATGAATCACTGGCAATGTTTTATGGGTGCGGTGTGGATGTGGGTGTGAATGTAAAGGAAGATCCACACCCATACTCTTTGAATCTGTCAAGGTAAGCCAAACATAGACGTAGGTTTAAAATATTTTATTTGAGACGAAACCAGCTAATTTGAGTCTGTAATCAATAAAATGAATAAGAAAATTCAATTCCACTGTTACTACTCATTTAGTGTGTACACAAAGCAAAGCTATATGAAACCAAATCTTCAAGAAATTATTGTGATTCTGCATTTGAGCTTTTTATCGGGTAGGAATTTAAGTGTTGGCTTTACGATTCAATTATTTTGTGGAACTCACATATATTTTCGAAGAAAATAGTGAGTGTAAGTTTTAAGTTCGAGTTTTTAGGGCTACCTCTCCCCTCCCCCGCCAACCACATTACAGACCTTAGCAATCAATATAAAAGATGTTAGATTTCCTAGTTTTTTTTTGGAAAATTGATAAAGTTATTATTTTGAAAAATAATGAATATCATTATTTGTGACTTGATTAATATATATGATAGTGTGTAAGGTCTGCTGTAGATATCATAGGTATGTAAAACACACTTATTTGTCAATCAATTCAATGATTATAATAATAAGAATGATAAATTAAGAAAAACGAATTAGAAAAAAATAATGAGCGAATAGCAACAATGCAAATAAAAAATAGGGCGCCCATAGAAAACAGTTTAAAAAAACATTCTGTTCGAAATTAGAGAGATTTTTCAGTTTACGTATTTTGTATCAGTTGAATGAGTCTAGAGAGCATATGTGAGTTACACATTTCAACCCCAATGGGGCTGCGCTAACAAGCTTTTTTTTGTTGTTTTTACATTATCAGTACTTTGTTGGGTCAAAACATGTTTGACCTATTAATAAAAACCTTGCTCATCATTTTTCTCCGGCATAAGAAAAGTTTGCCCATTAGTTTAAAAACCCTGATTACTAACATTGATTTGAGAAATGTTCTTTTTTTTTTCTGAATATATACTTCTTGTCTTCATACGACATCTTTCGATATTTTACGTATTTATATTTTTTCTATTGCATGATTGTATAATACCTACGAGAAAAAATAATGTTGTCTTACTTTTTGGATTATTATTCTTTAGTTACACACTTCTCTGTTGTTGGATTTTCTTTGAATTTATCGTTATTAATATTATTATTTAGCTTTTCATACATAATCAAAACATTGTTGTTGAAACCTTATAATTACATATTAAGATTATTTCTTTTGTATTTTATTTTTATATTGAAGATTATAAAAACAATAATATGCCTGTACGTCTTCGATATTTAATTAATCGTGTACCATTACCATCTCTTCAATATTATACATTAATAAGTACATCATTATTATTTGCTAATATATTCTATTATCATCATTTAATTCAAATAAATGTTAAAAATTTAACAAATGAAACCATTATCAATGGATCAATATTTTTTTCAAATGCAAAACCATTTTCATATGAATATATTCAAACAATTTTATCTATTATTATATCACAAACATTATCACTTCTAGTAAGAATAAATTAAATAGATTATTATTGAAAGAAATACATATAAAATATATTTAGATATTGGTTAATGCAATATATTGTTCATTTGGTTTATTTGTTAAATATTTACAAGAATTAATATTTGGTGAAATACGTTTTGTTGAATTACAACGTATAAAAGATAAATTTTGGAATTATGCATTTTATAAATTTTGTTTTCTATTTGGTGTACTTGGTTTAGAAAATTTAAATGAACTTATATTATGGATATCATGGTTTTCATTTTTAGCCTGTGCACTTCTATTATGTCAATTATCGAAAGATCGTTTTGAATTAGTAAGTTTATTTTTTGTCAAGAATCCTATCGGATGAAATGAACATCATAAATTATCCTCCATGATCAATGAATACGTAAAACAAAATTAATTTTTCAATTTCTAAGGACAGAAAAGTAGATGAATTTTTGCGATAAATATTTTTCAGTAAAAAACTTTCTATTAATTAGTAGTAAGTTTTTCATGCTCTATGATTTGGCGCATATGAATATTATTAAAAATGAGAAAAAAAATTCTGTCAAATTCTTAGGACGGAGGCGGAAGAGGTACGGAAATGAACTATTACAAATATTAATTTTTATTTTATGGTATTTCTCATAAATTTTAATTTTATGTAGTCGTCCATGTATGAAACTCTATTAGATTCAACAGATGTTCGACCTCTTACTAAAATTAAAAATTTTCCATATTGCCATACTCTCTTGCAGAAGTCTGACAGAAAAATTTTCTAAAGATTCATATATGTCAATTTATAGGACATGAAGAACTTATTATTAATTAATAGAAACTTTTTTTATCCTTAGAAATCGAAAAAAATAGCCATTGATTGATCGCTTTTGTTCTCAGGAATACTATTGAAAAATTTAAAACATAAAAAAAAAATTGCATAAGCTAAGAAAAATCTAAATGGTTTAGATAGTTTTTCGCATGAAAAATGGTTATCGGATTCGATAGATTAAATTTTATTTTCTAAATAGTTATCAGTTTCGGCTTCAATACGTCGTCAACCACTTGTTAAAATTCTTTGTTTACTTACATCATTACTTATAATATGTTTAATATTATTTACAATTTGTTATTTTATTGGTTATAAATATGGTGGTTTATCAATATTTTTTTTTATGTTAGCTGAAACAATTTTATTAACACTTGATATATGTTATCTTTTATTTAAATATACATTTCAATATTATATATTTGAACAACAAGAACAAAATCCATTAACAACATCAAATGAATATCGTTCATATATGATATATTATATTGAATTTTTATATCATATAATAACATTAATTATTGATATAATGCATAATTTACAAATGTTATTTTATCATCAAACATTTATGTCAATGTCATCATTAATATTTTTTATGCAATTAAAACCATTATTTAATGAATTAACACAACGTTTAAAACGACATAAATCATATCGTAATGCAATGATACGTATGGAAAAAAAATATCCATTATTAACTAAATATGATTTAGAACAAAAATATGTTAAACAAAATCATATATCAAGTTTAGATGAAATTTGTTCAATTTGTTGGGAAAAATTTGAAAAAGCAAGATGTTTACCATGTAAGAAAAAGAAATAAAATTATATTAGAGTCAATGAAGTACGATTATTTTCATTCATCAAATATACGTGAATTCGAATTATCGAAATCATTGATTGAGATTAATAAGAGAATTCAATGATTTTGATATTCTATTGGTATATTAAGAAATAGCACAAAAATTCTAATTCTATCGCATTATAATTTTTAAACTTAATAAATTACATAATCTTTTCATTTTAGGTGGTCATCTATTTCATCAAAATTGTTTACGAAGTTGGCTTGAACAAGATACAACATGTCCAATATGTCGTTTATCTTTACAAGAAGATACAACACAACAAACACCTAATGTACCTGTTCCAACTCCAGCAACATCTAATTTTCTTCTTTGGCCATCATTAACTCTTGCACGTCGTGCACCTAATGTACTTGGTTTAGCTGATACAACAGGTCAACGTCCACCAGCTAATCATTTATTTCGTTTTGATGGTAGTCGATATTCATCTTGGTTACCAAGTTTTTCAATTGAAATTAATCATAATTTTCCATTTCGTCTTGGTCGTGCACGTTTTACAGATGTACAATTAACAAGTACAGCTCAAAATATTCAACAAATATTTCCACAAGTTCCATATGATATAATACTTGCTGATTTACAACAAACACAATCAATTGATACAACAATTGAAAATATTATGGATCATCGTATTCATATTGAACCACAACAAACTCATCATCAACATGATACATCAGGTACAGATGAATCATCATATTCATCATCATCATCAACATCATCATCGGAAGCTGGAGAACCAATCGATACAGATTTATTGTAAGTATGAATATTATTAGAAAAATTTGATACATATTTTTTTCGTATGTTCATTTTTTTTTTTTTTTAGATCTGATCTACGTCGAACAACACAAACAGATGAATTAATTGATAATGATGATAACGAAAATTTTACATGGCCATTAGATCCACAACTTTCATTAGCTAGTCGAAAACAACAATTAATTTTGCATATGCGACGGTAATAATCATGATTTATACATATGGATGATTTGTAAAGATTATTGCACGGAAAAGAAACTTTTACATTCAAATCTTTTGATCCATTGATTTTGTTACGAACATTAGAAAAAAAAAATATGTCTTCAATACCATTGTAAACACGACAGAGATACAGAGGCTCCAGAAAATCGATATAAATTTTAAAAATGCGACATATAGTTTGATAGATATCAATGAGATAAATTCAATGGTATATGCTGTATCATAGATGTACTTTTATACTCACTTCTACAGGCAAAAAGTCTAATGTTCGTTGTAAACACGAAACGAAATTCGGCTAGATTAATAGAAACTTCCTACTATTGAAGGTGGTTCTTCTCTCTGGATAGTACTTCTATAATTTAGTATAACAACTAGAATTTTGTGTTCTAGTTTCTAATCGCGACTACAATGTAAAGAAACATTTTGTTTTCTGCAAAACATAGCGCCTTTATCTCTCTATTATTTGAGGCTATTTCTGGTCTTTTGTATAAATCTGTTTGTTCTCAGCTACGTTTTTAATCTCGAAAGACAAATATCTGTCAGTTCAAAGGTCATCAAAATTTATCGAGAAAAGTCTAATGTAACATCAGACCATTTACATTCTCTGAACTTTCAAAGTAATCTCTACAAAGTTGCAAAAAAAAAAATTATTCAAATCGATCGACAGGAAGTAGAATTATTATAAATATTTGTTCAAAATTGAAACAATATGATGAAATTGCAAATCATTCATATATATATATATATTTATATGTTGTTGTTTAAATAATTATAGTTTTTTTTTTTTTTCTATTTAGACGATTTCTCGAACGTGAACGCCGTCTTCATTTATCCACCCAAAAGTCAGATTTATTATCTGACAACTAAATTCAAAAAATAATTCTTCTGTATTTTTTTTTGTTTTGTTTATATGTATATTTCAAAACAATAAACAGTGCTTTCTTGCTCCTTTATGCTTAGACTAAGGCAGTTCATTTTCTGTATATGTCTTTAAAAACTAATAAAACTTTATTTGTGTGTATGTGTTTGTGTTCATGATTGAAAAACCAAAACAAATTTTGCAAAACTATTATTGTTCGTCTTTATTTCTAATAAATATAACCGACAAGTACCATGAGTGTATTGATATTATTTCTATTGTAGAATAAAATGCGTCGAGGTGTTGGTATCAGTGGAATTAATCAACAATTACTTGAAAAAGTATGTTAAATTTTATTAGAAGAATTTTTAATAAATTATTATTTTTAGGCAAAATTCAATGAAAAAGGTTCAGAACTTGCACGTGATCATTTAGACAAGGTATGTTAATTTAATATTTTTATTCTTGAGAATTCGTCGAAGAAGTTGAAAATGTCCGTTCAACGTTTATACTCACAAGAGAAACCTACGAATTGATAAATTGATTTTTAAAAACGAAATTACATAGACCCAAATGAACTGTGAATATCCCAAAAAAAATCGAGTTCCTACCCTTAGCTTGTTGCTACAAAGATACTGCACTTTTATGGAATTTTTTAAATATCTTTATCAGGAAAACTTATGTTCGAATTTCAACTGAAGACTTTACATAGACAGGTCTTAACAAGAATAATTAATTACAGTAGTTTCACATCTTTTGATTTGCTTCTAGTCTAGAAGAAGTACATTAAATCTGCTGTTTTTTATCAGTGATGTAAAAGACACATTATTACCATAGTTATATCTTAAGATAGGAACAGTGATAGAATCTGACATATTCACAAAACTTATTTTTTTGTTTTAGGCTCGTTTCTATGCAAAGTTTCAAGTCGAAGTTCAGATATGAGTCTTCTTGACGAACACATTTAAAACATTCCGTAATAGTACAGTATATCCGCAACCATAAGCAAAGAGCACGAACCCTTTTCCCGTGTATTTATAGCTCATTTTAGTTTACACAGTCTCGCTTTCAAAATTAATTTATCAGTTGAAGAATTTCTCTCGTTAGTACTTTTAAGGTCATTGAAACAAGGCATGATAAAATCTATTTGAAGGAAACCTTAATGTTTACGAGTCAAGCCTTACAAAAACCTACTAAATGTCGATTTTGAATAGATGTAATGGGCTTCATCAAAATCACTTTTTATGAATTAAATTTTTCTTTTTTGAATAAAAAAGATAGAATTCGACTATGGATGCTGGCGTGTGCTTCCCTCGCATATCCCACAGGATAGTTTCAGAATATTATAGAAAACCCAGGAACATTCTGGAATCCTAGTTAATCTTATACCGTTCTAGAAGGTTCCTGAAATATCTGACTTTTAAATCTTAACCTTGAACCAGACCATGTGTTACCTCATAGAAAGATTTGTCCTATGACCTTTGACCTGTTAACAGACAGATAGACAATCGTGAATTATTATATAGGTATAGATTGCATACTGCTCTAGATCACACCTTCGTCATTATCCGATTTTGAATTAAATAGTAATATTTATAGTAAAACTCAGAAAAATAAATTTCAATAATTACTTTTCGATCTAGATTTGATTTTGATCATAGTCTCAGTGTGAGTTTAGAAAAAAATAACCTACAATTTATTTGTATTACAACTAAAAAAAATTCTTCAATACTCATGTTTTAATTTATTTAATCGAAGACTAACACTTTTTAAGGTCATCTCTCATGAGTTATGTTCTGATTGATGGTTTATTAGATAATTCGCTTAAAATTATAGAATATTTAAGCGAATTATCTTTAGTTCCGATTAGAGCAACTTTTTTCTCATACTTTCGGTTCGGATAAATTTTTATATTGTGATTTCACACATCTCTAATATTTACTCTTATCTATTTCTCTCTAAAATTTCATTTTTGTATATTTAGCTTGCCAAACAATTTGAAATATTTCGTGATAATTTGGAAAGTTTTGCTGAAAAACATAAGAGTGAAATAAAAAAAGATGTTGCATTTCGACGACAATTTCAAGAAATGTGTGCAACTGTTGGTGTTGATCCACTTGCATGTATATAAATAATAAATTTTTTTTCACAAAAATTTCTTGTACATTATTATTTGTTTTTCTTTATCTTTCAGCAAGTAAAGGTTTTTGGTCACAAGTTCTTGGTGTTGGTGATTTTTATTATGAATTAGCTGTACAAATTGTTGAAGTTTGTGTTGCAACAAGTTCACAAAATGGTGGTATTATTTCACTTGATGAACTTTTTTTACGTGTACGAAAAGCACGTGGAAAATCTCGATCAGCACAAGATGTTTCACAAGATGATATTTTACGTGCAATTAAAAAATTACGTGCACTTGGTGATGGTTTTGCTGTTATTCAACCAATAAATGGTCAAGGACGTATACTTATACAATCAATTCCAGGTGAATTAAGTATGGATCATACAGCAATATTAAATTCACTTCAAACACGTTCAAGTTTTACAGTTGAACAATTACGTGAAGAATTTAAATGGACAGATGATCGAATAAAAACAGCTATTGATTTTATGATTAAAGAAGGTCTTTTATGGATTGATAATAATGGACGAAATATTGAATATTATTTTCCTGGTTTATTCACTGCACAGCGTGTGATAGCCGGTGAAAATGTTTAAAAAGAAATATATTTTATTACAATTCTGTTTTTTTTCCTTTTTTTTTGATCAAATTTGTATATTTCATTTTTCTTTTCTTTGAATTTCAGATGACTGAAAATCAACATACAAGTGATAATCGACATCATTTAGCTATATGGTGTCGTGCGGAAGTATTTACTTTTGGTGCATTAACAACTCCACCACCACCTGATATTACACCTTCTGTAAGTTTTCCAGATAAGAAGTGATTCTTAAGAGAGAACTATATGAAATAACATTCGTCGTTTGAGTTCATATTAAGCCTACAAGGATTTGTGTAGATGGGTTTTTTGAAGCCGTGTTATTAAATTTTATCGATCAAGAGTGAAAAGGATTTTGTCTTATTTATTAGTACGTTTCACGCAGAAATTTTCTTCTTTTTCGATTGACGCTCTATTTTTAGTTTATCTTGTCTCAATGCGCTATTATATAACTTGAGCCAATTAATCGATTAATGCCCGTCATTCTTGGCATTGCGTATATAAATTTTTATGTGCGCGAAACTTTAAAAAAAAACTGCGTGATTTAGAACATTCAAATATCGAGGAAGAATTTAAGGTGTTCTAGAAAATTCGAAGTATTTTTGTTCATGTCGTTCAACGACTTATCTGTTACTAAGGAACTTTGGGAAAGGAACCTGATGCCGGTTACTATGTGGAAGAATCACAAAGCCTTTACTCAGTATATTGTTCTTCGAGAAAACATGATGCGAGTTCCACAAAATAGAATTTCGATGTGAGATTTCGCTCATAGATAGGTCGAATGATTCGTTTTTTTCGGTTGAAACTTTACATGGAAATTCTGTTTATTTGCTTTTTCGGTACAAAAAAAAAAAACGTAAAAGTGAATTGAAAATTCCGTATAGTGTTCACAACTCAATTCGAAAGGCCTATAGGGACAACTCTTTTTAGACTTTCAGTAGTCTCATAAAGATATGTTTAAAATTATGTTATTTTCTTTTCATAGAGTTTAAAATCCATTGTCAAATATATGAAAAAAAGTAATACTGCAGGTTATCCAAAAATGAAGTAAGTACATTAATTAATCAAGATTTTTAAATTGATAAAATTGTTTGGATTTATAGTTATATGCTTTGGCGACATATTGCTTGTTCTAAATTACATATGTCTGAAGAATTAGCATGGATGTAAATATTTATTTATGAAATGAATTTTGAATATTTTAGTATGATTTTTGTTTTTCATAGGTATTTTGAAACGTATAGTATGTTAACGAATACTTCGGCTCAACGTCGAATACAAACTGATATTCAAGTTGCTAAAGCAAATAGTACGGCTGAGATTGGTCAGTTGTATTTTAGAATGTTAATATATTGAATATTGTTTGTTGTTTTTTTTTTTTTAGAACGACTTAAAGATTCTCGAAAAGTTGATAGTCTTGCTTTTATTCTTCTTCTATTTCTTCAATCATTCCATCAAATTGATCTTAAATCAACACTTTCTCGTGACGAGTTTGTTTATTTAATTTATATTGAAAATAAATTTTTTGAATCAAATTATTTTAGATGGCCTAATCGTAAACGAAATTCTGATTTAGATGCTCGAAAAAATCGCGTATGTATTTAAGTTTTTTTTTTTCTTTTTTTTTGTCTTTTATATTAAAATAAATAAATTTTTATTTTTAGATTTATGATGAACAAAGTCATCAATTATTTATTCAAGCGCATTTAGATGATCTATTAAATATTATTTCAGACACGTCAGGTAATTTAAATTTTATATTAAATTTATTTATTTATTTTTAATATTTAAGAATCAAATAATCATGAAAATGTTCAATCGGCTACATTAAGTATGGATGCAGTTAATGCTCTTAGTTATATATTCGAAGGAACACTTCATGATAATTTACGAAAAATTTTTCCATTACATATTATTATTCAAAATTCATCAATTCAACATGAAATTGGAATAGTAAAATAAATTATTTTTTATTGTTGTTGTTATTTTTTTTATACATGAAAATTTAAATTAAATAGAATAAATCGATTGTTCCATTTAAAAATTTATCGAATTTAATACGTCGTTCACTTATTGCAAATCCATTTCAAGTTGGACAAACAATGAAACGTGGAACACTTTTACCATTACCATTTAATAGTTAATATCTTTTTTTTTTTGCTTTTCATAATTTGAAATTTCAATGCATATAAACTTTGTTTTTTAGATCCAACACATGAACAAAGATCTGGCCGAGTTCTGTCCAATTCAAATTTTGCAGATGAATCGTAAGATAAATTTTCTTTACTGATTTATAAATATTAACAATGGATTTTGTTTTTTTTGTTCTAGTCATCGATTTGTATTAATGACAATGATTAATCGATCATTAAGTGATCAGGTAAGACCGAAAGCTATATGTTGCATTATAATATAATCACTTACAATGTATATAGATCGTCTTCGAAAGATTAATAAGGCTTATTATATACATATTCCAGAATTGAAATTACTTGAGACTTTTTGAACTAATATCTGTCCAATAATAAGATGGCCGTGGGTATTTTTGTAATAACTTTCGATAGGAACAAGATAGAGACCTGGGATTTTCACCGTTCCACAGAGGACAAAGAGGGACATCGAGACATGCGATTTTCATTGGTCAATATATCGACNTGAATGGGTGTGAATGTGTAGTCGTCCATCAATAAATTGACTCTAGGTCGTTCAAAGTTCTAAGAAAACAGAATTTACTATATACCATTCGATGCGGCTCGAAAAGCTCTACAACATGATATATTTGTTTCTTATTTCTAAACCAGTTCACCCCATCCGACAAGGTTCTTTAAATGACGGGACACGAACTTTTGATACGCCCTAAGTATAGGCGTTTTGATATTATGATGGTGAAAAACATGGATGTTTTGAAAAATTCATATCTCGCAGATACTTGACCAAAAAAAGTGTTGAACCTTTTTCTACAAGCTAGTCTAATCGATAACTTTATATGAGCAAATTTTCAGGTCAAAATTCAAATGTACAATTTCGTCTGAAAATTAGGATTCTAAAGAAAAAGTCCACTAAACATTCGAAATTTCAACAACAAAAACTCAGTAGCTCGAAAGCAATTTGTCACTTGAAGATTTTTCTTCATCAGTAGATATTGAATAGAAAAGATTTATTACAGAATAAAATCTTATTTGAAATCTCGAAATATGATTTTCTATGTAAATAAATAATTTGTATATTCTTCATAAAATAATTCTATTAGATAACTTACACAATAATTAATGTTGATTGCGAACTATATTCTTGTAAATATTCATGTAAATTAAGACCTCTTTTAATTTTTTCTTTATTAACTTCTAATTCCATATCTGTTATTTTCCATGATTCATTATCTAGAGTTGTATTATTTTCATTATTTTGATGCCATGCTTGTAAAAGTTGTTCAAATTTTTGTGTTTCATTTTCATTTGGTTGTTTATTAAGACTATCAAGAACATGTAATTCTGTATATTTAATTCGAAATTTTGATAATAATGATGCCATTGCAACATGTTGCCGTTCAGCATCATTTTTTTCACCTGGTACACATGAAAATATTCGAAATTGACTATTACGCCAACGTTTTCGACGTCGTAATAAATAAGGTAATAATAATGTTAAACCACCATCATCAAATAACCACCAAACATCAATAATAGCCGATGAATTTTGTTTCGGACGAAATATATTCATTGTTAATAAAGCACCTTCATTTATAATTGTATTTTTTAATGTTAAAACGTCAGTTTGCCGTCGTCCATTATTATTATTATTTGGTGATTTTGAAGCACGAAATGGACTATATGCTAAAGATGATACATCTGCTTCATCGTCATCATCATCGTCATCATCAGGTAAATCTATTTGAATAGAAAAAATTTTCATTTAAAAAAGAATTTTTTTTCAAAGAGAAAAATTTGTCATACCCGGTCCAAAAAAATCACTGAAATCAAGTCCACTTTGTAATCTTAAAATTCCAATGCCATATTTTAGATGCAATGCATCATGAATTATATTAAAATAATCAATAGCTGCATCAGCTTTAATTAACCAATCACTTTTAAAGCCAAAAACAACTACATTTGGTCGCATTTTACCTACACCAACACACTATAAAGAAAAAAATCTATTAATAAAAACCCGTGAGAGGAATTTCATTGAGATTAAAATGTAAAATATAATAGAGCTACTGAATATCGTCAAAGAGGAAATTTATGAACCTAGATTTTAGATTGTGAATTAATACCTGCTGTTAATATATGTCAAAGATAATCATTATATATTACAGTTAGTCGAGAAGAACGGCAAGAGAAAGGTACATTTAAATTCAATTGCGATTCATACTAATTCTATAATAGAGTTCGGCCTTGCAAGTAATGTCCTGCAACTGGGTCGTGCACTTGGTATCTAGCCCGGCCTACTTATCAAAATCGATTGAATTTCAGAACGGGAAGAGACCAAGTGGAAAATCCTAAAGCACTTGCTTTTTTGTGAAATTTGACATGATCTCTTGTTATTGTTGTTGTTTATGAGAGAAATTAAACAGTATATTTTGTCATATAAAATAAAAGTCCAAAAAATTGTACTATGACTGTGAAAATCTGGGCCGGGTTCAGAGAAGAACATAGGATATAAATGAATTTTCATTACGCTTACAAAATTATAACTACTATTTGAAGACATTCGTTGGCGGATGCTGTTTTCCTTAGCGAGTTGATAGTGATTATAGAAAAGTCTTATGAACTTAATAAATCTTATACAAAAAAAAAGATGTCCAATAACCATGAATGAGTAACAGTTATTGGAAGTATAATGACAAAAATCGAAAACAAATGTGAGTATCAATATAGTATCATTCATAAAATCTGTTTTGACTTCTTATTATTCTCTTAAATAATAATTTGATCCGTATGAAAAACAAAAAACTTCTAAATAAATTTAAAATCCGTCAATTAGTCTGAACTAAAGTAAAGATATTTCAATTTTTTTTCTCATAGTCCTATGTATGGCCTATCCTACTGATTAATGAAAGAATAAAAAGAAATGTTTATATTACGTACTTGTAGTAATGCTATTGCTCCTTGTCGAACAGTTGGTGCAACAATAGGTTGATAGAATGCTTTTGCTGCTCGTTTTTTTAACCATGTTTCACCTTCATCTTTTTGATCATATTGAATATTTACTGTTGGATCATTCTTAAACAAAGTTTATTAAATATAGTCTTCGAAAAACACATTAATTTTTATTTCTTCTTTTGTTTTTTTTTCACTTACTAAAATAACATTAGCACAAATCATTAAACTATGTCCATGTGTAACTAATGAACAAAGATCAACTAATGCTGGACGATAAATTGGATTTCCAGTTAAAACTAACATTTGTGGTCGAAAATTTTTAACATGTTCTTGAATAATATCTAATTTATGTGTTGCATCAAGTGCTCGTCTATAGGTTTGAGCTTGAACAGATGAACCCCAATTGATTTCTAAAAGAACAAAAAAAACTTTTATTTTAATAAAATATTTTTCTTGATAAAATCTTTACCTGGTTTTGTTGTTCGTACATAAAGAAAAAGTCCACTACTAACAACAAATGTTGTCAAAGCTGCCCACCTTAATTCGAAAAAAAAGTACAAGAAGACATTGTTCAATTATTTTCTCATTTGAAAATCTTACCAATTAATAATAAACATAACTGCAACACAAAGTAATGCTCCAATTAATGCTAACCATTTATTAAAATATCGAAAACCTGGTCTCCATCCACTAGCTTTTGCTAATGTTGCATCAAAACATGCGTAATTAACTAATGCATAAGTCATAAGAAAAAAATTTGAAATTATTGGTGCAATTCTATTTAATTCACCTTGAAAATATAAAAATTTTTTATTATTAAACAAAAAAAAAACAATCAAGTAATAAAGAATTCTTTTACCAATAGCAGTAAATAAAACAGCAACAAAATATGTAAGAAAATAAGCTCGTATTGGTTCATCAGATTTTCCATTACCAACAGAAAAATATTTCAAACGAGGAAAAATCATATCACGACAAACAGCTTGAAAAATTTTTGGTGCACTTACAAGACTTGCTAAATTAATTCTATTTGAATAAAACAGCAAGAAACAAAAAAAAAACAGATAATATCTTACCTAAAGCACTTGATAACGTCGCAGCAAATATTCCGGCTAAGAATAAACAAAACAAAAATTTTTTTCAATAAATAATAATTTAAGATAGAATTATATCAACTTTTACAAATATTATCTTGGAAAAGTTATGTTTGAAATCGCAATTATTATAGGAAAACAAAACTTCATTGTTTGAAAGATGCTATTTATTATCTCTTGCATTCTAAGAGATAAGAATAATGAATAGATCATATGTGTCGGCATGTAGACCTCGACGGTTTTAAGTTTTTTTCACCCTAAACTCAAACTGTACTTATAGTTTCAATGAACATTTTTAGTCTCAGTTTTTAAGTTTCTGCGAAGATGCGACATATTTTTTCTATCGATTATTTGTATTGTGTGACTTGCATCTTTCTCACGAGGAAAGTTCTCCAATTGATAAAATAGCTTTTCAGTCGAGACTATGTGCATTATGTAGATCCAAATAAGCTATGAGTATCCTAAAAAAAGTTCGGATCCTAAGTTCATTCGTGCGGAGATGTTCAATTTTTATGGAAACGTTTTAATTCAATGCCGTGGTCTCCCTGAGTTAAAACTCATTTTTCGCTATTACCATAGTTAGAAATAACGACAAGATCTGAAACATTTACTAAAAAAACTATTTTCGTTAAGACTTGTTTCTATGCAAAGTTTCAAGTCGAAATTTGAAAATCAGTTTTTTTGTTATCACAGCATTCATTTTAACAAATACTGTAAAAAATGCAGTATGTCTGCGATAATAAACTAAGCGGACGAATTCTTGTCAGGGCATGCATAACTCATTTGCGTATATATAATGTACATGCCCTGGATTCAAAAACGATTTATCCGTTGGAGAACTTCCCACAGCAGAGCATCCGATGGGTTCTATTGATTCATCTCGAAATCATTTTTTGTTTTCGCATAAATAATTTATTGTTTTTATAATTAAACATCAATAACATTGTTTTTTATGTGTTGAAATAATTAAAAAAGAGGTTCGAATAAATCTCGACGCACAATAGAAGACCCCGAGGGTCTTCTATTATGTTCAAGGGTAAAAATTTTCCACGAAGGAGGTCTTCCTTTGTGTCTTATCTGTTTATATAATTATGAACTGAAAGAGTTTTTTGAAAAAAAACAAAGAGATTTCTACAGATTTAAAAGCCTAGAAATAATGTTGACCTCAGTCATTTAAAGTTTTTTAGGTCAACGTCCCGAAAACTCGGCATATTGTGATATAAATATACTAATTATAATTTCTTTAAAAGGAAAAAAATCAAGACTGATGCGAGTTACACGATCACTCTATAAGTCTTCAAATGGGTGTATATTGTAAGATTTGTATTGCATTCTATAGCAAAAGATAACATAAAATATTTTTACGTCACGCGAAATTACGAATTCGAACGAATAGAATAATTTTAACAAACCGGTTATTATTGGTCCAAATGCTGATATCAATTTCATTGTTTGATAGTTATATATTAAACCAGATTTACAATTTATATCATCCAAATGTAAAGAACAATTAACAATTTGTATTATACTTTCATTTTGACGTTCATAAAAATCCACTTAAATCAAAAAACAAAAAAAAAATTTCAAATATTTCTTTTAAACTTTATACCTACAAGAAACTTCACGACGAGTTGTACATGCCGCTATAATACAAAAAGCAAGATAAACAGCTGTAGTAATTCCTATAGCAGTATTTGTACCCAATGGAATGGCTTTTGATGGATTCTGAAATAAAATTAACAAAAAAAAAAAAAACATTGTATAATTCTTTTTAATTTTATTTACTTTTAAATTTCCTGAAATATTTGCACCAGCAAGAATTCCTGTAACTGCTGGAAAAAAAACACCAAATACGCTTTGAAATGTTTCACCATTCTGAAATTTTGGTCCAAAATTTTCTTTTATTATTTTCCCTAAAATTTATTGATTAAAAAAAAAACAAACAAATAGTTTTTTTTTTTTCTATCAATCTTTCTTCTTTACATGAATAGCCTTCAAAACCATGCTGTCGTTTGTATGGTGTAGCCGGCATTAAAGAACCAATAAAAAAATCCAACAACGATGCAGATAATGTAATAAGCAATACTATTTGTACAATACTTTCACCACGCATACCGATGAGAGAAACACCCAACATGATTGTCATCGTAATAAATCCTAAGTTTATATTTATTTATTTATAATATAAAAAATAAAATCTACAATACATACCGATAATTCTCACAACATTTACAGATTCTCCATCAACAACTGTTCCTAATATTTTAACATTATGCTCCTAAATTTCTCTTATTATTACAAAAAATAATTCATTTTCGTTTTGTTTTTCTTACTTTAAGAATATCACGAACTGTTTCAGCAAAACCAATTGTATACATAGCTGCTGCAACTGCATCTAATCATAGAATTTATACATATTTAATAAAAAAACAAAATATTATATTTATCCTTACTAACGAATGAAAATATTAAACCAATAGCACCACCAAATTCCGGACCAAGACTACGTGATATAAGATAATAAGTTCCACCACCTCTTACTTCACCATTTGTACAAATAGCACTCATTGATAAAGATGTTAGAACAGTAACTACTGTTGAAATGATAACAATAAGACATGCTAAACCTATACCAGCTTGACCTGCAACCCAAGATAAACGAAGAAATAACATAACACCAAATATATTTAATACACAACGAATCTAAAATTTCAATAACACAATTCAAAACAACAAAAAGAACAATGTCATACAAGAACACCGATGATCCATCCAAATTTAACAATTTCAACTTTTGGTTTTAATTCAATTTGTATTGGTTGTTCATTTGATATCATTACTGTACTAAGTACTTCACTATTTAAATCAATAGCTGATGCTAATTTATATTTTGATGGAATATTAGCTGTTCCATGTAATGCTTCAAGTGTTGGTCGAGTCTTTGGTTCAGATGATGTAAATGAAAATAAATTTCTATAATGATCAATATGTGGTAATGTATCAATGGTATCATAAGTACATGTTTCTTTCATTCCATTATTTAGTGTACTTGTTTGATTTATATCTGATATTGTACTACTATGTTCACTACTATCGTCTCCGAATAAAACTTTTTTTTTAATTTCATTTGGACTTGATGAACATGAAATAGATGATATTAAAACTTCAAGAGAATTGATAAAAATATATTTGAAATAAATTCTAATTATTTAAACTTACTAGCCGGAATATTTGTTATTTCACATGATAATTTTTGTGAATTTGGATCCTCATTAGAAACTTTTTCTATTTGAAAACGAGCCGCACTAATCGATCGAGCAATTCCATTTGGCTCATCGTTAATCATATTTGGTGAATTATTTATACTAAACATTTTTTAAGGAGTTTTGATCATCTAGAAAATTATATAATTCTCTCTAAGAGGAATGTTATATCCATGACCTGTCACGATAATGTACTTTGTTAAGAACGATAAAGTACACATTATGTATATATATATATAAATTTTCAGCTGCTCTTTGTTTCAATGAACCAATCGGATATTATAATGCAAAAAACTTATCTTCATAATGCATTAAATGATTAAAAATATGGATAAATCATTTCTAAAAAATTGATATCAACTACTCTACTACTCATAAAATAAACTTTTTCAATAATAATCTAATCATATGCATTGATGCATCAGAATTCTATATATTCCCGAACATTCTAGGTAAAAAAAACTTACTCATCAAAAAGAAAAATAATGCCTGCGCGATAAGTATTTGTCTTGTCTTGTGCGTGACTACCAATTTTTTTTTCTTCGTCTCAGTTTTTTTTTTCAAGATATAAATAATTAAACAGGAAAAAAATGATACTTTACTTACTTGTTTTCATTAAAATTTCAAAAAAAAAAAAAAAAAAACGAGAATGTGTTTAAGCAACTTCTCTCAATGTCATCATCAAAAAATAAAAAACTTTAATAAAAACAACACTTCGTAAGAATCCTCAAGATGTTTATTGTCTAGTTCTAACATTGAAAAAAGAAAAGAATCGTTTAGTTTATTCGATATTATTTACAAAATTAATTACAAAAAGACTCACTTCACTATTACAAAGAACATCATGATCCAGTTCTATAATAAGAAAAATAATCTCATGTACACACAAAGGAAGAACTGGTGGAATGAAAGAAGAAAAAAAAGAAAAGAAATACAGAGACGTATTATATTCTTATGTAATATATCTTTTTGTCTTCGCCAGGCATTTTGTATTATATTAAAATTGATGTCACGTATATTTTCATTATTAAATAGAAACTAAGCCAGTTTTAATATTATTATAATTATTATTAATAGAATCTTAAAACATCATTTTTTTAATTATTAATATCACAATATATTGTATATTTCATCTATTTCTTACACAAAACAAGCTGTGTGACCCAAACAAAAGAAAAATAGAAAAGAGAAATGCAAATAGTTTTAATCTATTGTTCTTTTCTCTATTGTTACGAAAATAGTTCCGTTTTGTGTTTGATTAATATGCGCATAAATAAAACAAACTATATAGTTAGTTAATGAGATTTTTTTTTTGACTCGAATGACATACTAGTGCATTTTCAATAAAAATTTTTCTATCTATTATGAATTGATTTTAATAATCAAAACATGTTTTAACCTTGATTATAACAATGAATTATTAATGTATATTAATCAAGACATATATAAAACAACTTCTCTACGAATAAACAAAATATACTGATTAATACTTTTGTCCATATTCGTATGAAAAGAATAATATTTATTTATGTCTTATTTTCCTTATTTCTCTCTTTTCATTAAAGACGTTTTCTTGCGTTCTTTTTATAATAATATTTTTCTTCATAATCGTCCTTGGCACGTAGATTTAGGACAAACAATTTTTTATAGTAACAGCTTGCCATAATCATGCATATGCATTCATATACGTAACAATTTTATTATAGTAAGAAAAGCTTTCCAAGCTGTTGCAAGTTATCTCTAATAATGAAGAGGATTTGAATATTACTCTTAAGAAAAATAATAACTGATATAAATTACGGAGTAAAAAACAAATAACAAATTTAATTCAATGAAGTCTAATTATATAAATGAGATGTGAC